AATAAGAGACCCTACAACTAATAAAATCCTATATGAACCAGAGGAAATAGAAAAAATATTTCAGGAATATTACAGTAAATTGTATACACAGCCTACCTCAGTGGGTGAAGAGGACTTAAGGGAATTTTTAGACCAATTAGATTTGCCAACAATTGGTACAAAACAGAATGCGATGTTGACTTCAAAAATAACAGTGGAAGAGATAGAAAAGGCAATTAATCGGGCTAAATCGGGGAAATCACCAGGAGCAGATTGATTAGGTGCCTCCTTTTATAAAACATCTAAAGGGGAGTTAACCCCACTATTATGTAACTCATTTAACTATAGTCTCAAGAAAGGCAGGATCCCTCCCTCATGGAAAGAGACTATTATCTCCATCATTCCAAAGGAAGGTAAAGATAAAGAATATTGTTGTAATTACAGACCAATATCAATTTTAAATGTAGATTATAAACTCTACACCTCCATTATAGCTAAGAGGTTATATAGAAATAGGGCAGAAAGAGTGAAATACGAAACTTAATTGCACACAAAGGATTATTCCGTAAGTTAGGTAACCAATTAGACTCAATAACCAAAACTGGACTCAATAACCAAACTGGAGAAAGAAACAAAGATTTTGAGCTGGTTCGCATTTGATTTGAGGTTTGTACCGGGTACGAATGATAAGGGGTTTAAGCATTGGACGAAAAAAGGCATTACAGCGATATGTACCATGGTGGAACGGGGGAAGCTGCAGAGTTTGAAAAGTTAAGGGAAACATTTGGATTAGATGAACATGATCAATATCGATACAGACAAATAAAGGATTATTATGAGAAGGAGATACAAACTGACACTGATAATGAAGTTATTGATGTGTTTTTGAAAGCTTATGAGGGAAAAAAATGTAAAGTAATCTCAGCCCTTTACAAAGGTTTGTTGTCATGTAGGAAGACTTCCTCTCTTTATATCAAAGAAAAATGGGAAAAAGAGTTGAAGGAGCAGATAACTGATTTTTTATAACTCCAAACATTAGGAAGGAAACTGAATGTAACCAGCAACCATGCTGGAGGCTATGTGGACACATGGATGTAGCCCACATGCATATTTTCTGGTCGTGCCAAAAGATAATAGGGTATTGGGATAAAATATGGCGGAGTTTAAGAAAAATAATAGGATATGAGATACCCAAATCTTGTAAGATACTTTATTTGGGAAATTTGACACAAGATATAATACAAAAAGAGGATGAATATCTTGTTAAAGTTTTGCTATCAGCAAGTAAAAAAGCAATAACAAGGTTATGGTATAGAGCAGAACCACCGACGGTGGAGCAGTGGGTGTGCACTGTGGAAGAAATATTTGAAATGGAAAAAATTACACATAAACTATGATTACAAGAGACACAATTTCAGGAAAAATGGGAGAAATGGACAGACTATAGAACACAGCAAGAGGACACCACCATCGCCACCGGACAGTAAGGACACTGATGTGAGAATAATTGTGTTGTGAAGTGTGTAAAACCTGACACTGTAATTGTTGAAAGAAAATTTCAATAAAAAATAAGTAATAAAAAAAAAAAGAAAAACAGAAAAATTAGCAAAAGGACAGGCTGATGTTATTTTGACAAAAAAAAGTGTATTGTGTGTATTTGTCCCTTATGTCCTGTGGGGGGCATCACTGACAAATTGATATTCAGTAGAGATGAGTCCAATGATAGCCTTATTAACAAAGATACACTGTAGTAATGATTGGCAAGTGTATTTGTTATTTTGATAGCTATGCCTTGAATAGTTCTNACACCACCATCGCCACCGGACAGTAAGGACACTGATGTGAGAATAATTGTGTTGTGAAGTGTGTAAAACCTGACACTGTAATTGTTGAAAGAAAATTTCAATAAAAAATAAGTAATAAAAAAAAAAAGAAAAACAGAAAAATTAGCAAAAGGACAGGCTGATGTTATTTTGACAAAAAAAATGTATTGTGTGTATTTGTCCCTTGTGTCCGGTGGGGGGCATCACTGACAAATTGATATTCAGTAGAGATGAGTCCAATGATAGCCTTATTAACAAAGATACACTGTAGTAATGTAGTAAGTGTATTTATTATTTTGATAGCTATGCCTTGAATAGTTCTCTTGCTCTGTGGTCACAATTATGTGGACACTCACATTTACTTAGTATACATTCTAACCCAATGAAGTAAACTCTTTAGACACTGATAAAAAAAAGAGAACATTATGGTCTGTTACTGACCTCCACAAGCATTGACATATATATTCTTTATGCAACCTCATAAAAGATCTACCTATCAGTATCCAGACAGATGAATGGTGCTAAAATTCTCTGCAGGGACAGATTAAGCCACCACAAATGGAGGTAAAATGAGCTGTTTGAGATGATTTGAGTAAACACAGATTTGTCTCAGAAAATGCACCATGTAAGCATTTGTCAACAGTAATATTAATGGTATTAAATCACGATTTGACACAGGGCTTCTAGATTGATTAAGGCCCCTGCTCATGTATGAATTTCACCTGTCTACAGTGGATGGCTTCAAGAGGTGGAATCAGTTGCCTCCTCAGCTGGTTAGGGCTGAAGCCTGACCAGCATCGCATTGAACAGAAGTAAGAAACACCAAAGAGAGTAATCATGATGAGCTGAGGAGGGGATGGAAGAGGCAGGCCGAGGAAGAGTGCTTCCTCGGTCTGCCATTTTAAAAACTCTTAACTATTTACCCAGAATTCATTGGTACAGCAGCAGTCATGGTTTAAATAGTCAAGAACTAAACTGCTTTGTGCAACAGATGAATTTGGACTCAGTCTGTCTGAAGTCTGACTATTTATATCTAAGACTCAGTCAAAGTCTGTCTTTGGCCTTGGTTGGGTCACCCTGGTGAACCAAAACACCTGAGGACCCCATACAATCACTGATGAAGGGCCCCAGTTCATCAAAAGACTTATGTAACAACTGATCATTTTTGCATTCCATCTAATATTTACAACTTATATCTCATAATTTAGACTTAAAGAGTCTAAATGTATAAACGCATATGTATTTTGTATTTGTAATGAGTTACATGTAAATTCACTCCAGACTGTATGGACAGTTACACATTTAAATAAATATAGATGTATAACAAAGAAATAGGTGTGAGTTAAAGCCACTTTAACATATAGGGGCAAAATTGCAAGGGTTCAAAAGTAATTGGACACTTGTCTACTAAATGTTTCTTGATCTGCTGTGTGTTGTTTCACTCTTATTTTGTGCATAAAGAGCTCACCTGTGGCTCACAGCGGACATTTGACAGCTGCCATTTAGATTGAGGCTGTGTTGTCTGTCTGTTTGTAAAGAGACCATGCAAGTGAAGGAGATAATAACCAAGAAATCTCCCACAGAGATAACGAAGGGTTGGTTTGCCAAAATCAACAGTTGCTTACCTTCTAAAAAATGTCTGTACAGAAACTAGAAAATGGCAAACAAATTGGTAGATCAAGCAGCACAAATCCCTTTATGGTTACACTGTAAGTTGAGACTGCTCTCCAGAATGCAGGTGAACATGTTTCTGTATCAGTGACTAAGAGAAGACTTTATTAGCATAACCTCAGAGGATTCACCACAAGGAGCAAACCCCCATGGTAAACCTCAAAAACAGAAAGGCCGGGCTGCAGTTCAGTGCACAAAAAGCAACTGGAGGAGTTCTGGAATAAAGTTCTGTGGACTGATGAAACAAAAACCAACCTTTATCAAATTGATGGAAACTGGAAAGTATAGAGAAAAAAAGCAGCTTATGACCCAAAGCCACCACCTCATCTGTCAAACATGGAGGTTGCTCTGATATGGCTTTAGCATGTAGTGGAACTGACTGGCATTTATTGATGATTTCACGACTGAGATGAGCAACAGATATGTACAGGAGCAGTCTGTGGCTCAGTTTCAGCCAAATGCATCAGACCTCATTGGACTTTTCATCATTCAGCAGGACAACAATCCTAAAAGTACAGTCAAAGCAACCAAGGACCTAAAGGCAGCTGGACCTCAAAACAATGCACTGCACTGCAGGCCTGGAGGGAGCATCACCGAGAGAACACAAAGAGTCTGCTGATGTGACTGCAGGCAATGAGTGCAAAGGATTTTCTTCTATTAAACATGATGATTACCAGCTGCGGCAGCATGGAAGAATCATGGTAAAACATGCTCCTGCAGTACAATGGAGTGTAAAGGCCACATTGAGGAAAAAAAATCTGAAATTCTGAGAATAAAGTCAAAATATTGAGAGAATAAAGTCGTAATTTTGAGAATAAAATCAAAATATTTCAAGAAAAAAAGTCACAATATTATCGGAATAAAGTCATAATTTTACAATAAACAAAGTCTTAATATTATGAGACTAAAGTGTTAATCTTAGGTTTTTTGTTGTTTTAGAGGGAAATATCAGAAGCTTTAAAATGAGGAACATAGAGCATCCTGTGAAGTTCAGTTTCACAAATAAGGAGAAACTTGATCTTTTGGCTCATCATCATCATCATCATCATCGTCGTCGTCGTCGTCATCATCATCATCATCATCATCATCATCATCATCATCAGCATGAGGACCTTGAAAAGACTGTGAAGAAACTGAGTCTAATCTGTTGTTAAACAGACAAACAGAAGCTGCCAGAAGCAGCTCAGGCTGCAACTGACTGTCCTTTCACCTGTTTTATTAGTTGATGTCATATTTTAAAAAAATGTTTTTTTTCTCTCGAAATTTTACATTTTTGTATTCTCGTAATATTACGACTTTATTCTTGTAATATTATGACTTTCTTCTCGCACTTTCAGATATCCCATTTTCCTCAATCTGGCCCTAATACTCCGTCCTACCTACTGTAGCACCAAAAGCATGAAAGTGTCCAAGTACTTATTGTTTATATTCATGACGGGAATGGGATTTCTTATGTTACAGCCCGCTTGTCAAGACTTTTTATTTTGAAAGTTGAAACCGGAAATTACTTCTCCATGCTCTGGCTTGTTGACAGCAGTGGTGCTGATGTGAAGTAGCTACGTTACATGTTTTTATAGCATCATTGCTGCTAGACGAACAACATTAGCACATCCTGATGCTATAAACAGACTCGTTTAGCTTTAAAACGTGTCATCGAAATATACGTGACGTGCCGTAGATAAAATTAAACATTTGCGTTAAGCTTATTAAAAGTCGTCATTGTGCTATTAGCCAGTGAATGCTGTAACAGCGGAAGGCTAATGACATCAGGCTAATGGTGACGTGCTGCGTATCAACCTTGTTTTCTCAGGTAGGATAATTTAAGTCGAGAGGCTGACAAGCTGAAAGTCATCACCGGCAGTCATGGTGGGAGATAAACGAAAGTGGCATCTGTAAGTAACTAACGGTAACGTTAGCTAGAACCGACCTGCGGAGCGAGGAGACATGAACACGCCGCTCGGCAGGAACGGGTTCATCGGGCTCGCAGTCGGAGCTACAGCCGGCTTGGGCTTGATTGCCTTCATCATTTACAGAGAGATCAGTAAGAGAAAATCCCAGAGACTTGTGCTGGAGGCTCGCCCAGCTGCCCGGCTGTTCGACGGGGCGGATGGAGCAGCGCTGCTGCGGGAGGCGCTGGATGCTCAGGGTGGGTTGGCTCGGCTCGGCTCTGCCTCGCACTGACACCAGTTTGTCAGGAAAGATGTGTGTGTTTCTGTCATAGGCTAGGAACAAATGTCATTGTAAAGACCAGTTAACAACTTTGCATTTGTTTTAACAAGATTTCCTTGTTTGCCAGCCAGAAACGGACAAATAGTCAGACAGTACCAACGTTTGAAATCATGCCTCAATTCTCTAGTTACAGTTATTAGTTATTTTGAAACTCTAGACTGGATATAAGTAAATGAGAGAATTCAGTTTTTTTATCAGCATACCATTGCCCCTGCCTTCATATGGCACTCATATAACTATGCACATGATCTTACACCTGGCCCTGTAAGTTGCAGGTGGTTGACCAACAAAGATGAAGCATCACTCCAAGCCACTAGGCCCTGATCAGTGAGTGGACCCTGGTCTCCCTGATCTAGATGAGATGGTTTTGTGCCAAAGTTCCTGTCTAAGAGTTTTGAATCACTCTCTGTTTGACTCCTCACCTGGGACTAGTTTGCCTTGGTTTAGCTTCCATAGCCCCCAGGACAACCCCACCCCTCATTCCCAACCCCGCAGCCATTTTTAAGTGGCAGTTCTCAGAGGCCACAGTTGAGTAGCCGATCTCCCAGGAAAAGGTGGAAGATGAAGATGGGGTGAATGATGCTGCCACAGTGACCTGGACCTGGACCAGCAGGAGAAAATAGATGGATGGATAAGAAGCCCATATGTCTAACCCTGTGTCTCCCTGTCTCCTCCTCCAGAGGCAGAGGCCCAGCAGCAGGCTCTGGCAGCGGTGGAGGCGGTGGTGCAGGGCCTGTCTCCAGAGCAGCAGCTGGAGCTCAGGAACCAGCTGGACCAGGTGCTGAGCTGCGTGGCCTCACTGCGCTCAGAGGTGGCAGAGTTGAGGGGCGGCCTGCAGGACATCGCCCTGCAAATCATCCAGGATGTCAAGTGAGTGACAGTGTGGTGAGCTGTAAAGAAACTACCCCACTGTGTATGATACTAAAGAGTAATTTAATTGGCTGGACCTTCATAACAAATTGTGGAGACAATACACAGTTCAAATCCAGAGTGGCTTCCTTTAAACTGAATACCCTGCTGCTCTGGTTCAAAATGGATCAGGCAATGAAAGGTAATGATGTATCTTTAATGCAGATACATAGAGTGTGATATGCTCAAACTGCGTGAAGTCTTTCTTTTAGTATGAAACTGAAGCTGTGAGGAGAATACTGCACTGTTTATGTATTCAGTAGGGAAGTAGTTTATTTCTTCTGGTTACTTTTTACAGATGTCTCTAAGTAAACACACCATGCAGCATGATCACAATAACAAATGATGATAGCAAAAGTGAAAATTACAGCAAATAAAAATACAGTGAATTGAAGAAAGCACCAAAATCTGATGGTAGAGAAGGTTTCTACTGACTAATGACAGAAAGACACTTGAATGAAGAGAGTAGTTTCATGTGAACCAGCTTACATATGCTAATTAGAATACAATTTATTATATTGTTGTACATGCATGTTTTTATAAAGGTGCATCACACATACTTCTATCCATAGAAATGATAAAAGCGGATGTCTCAAGTCTCATCTCAAGTGAATGTTGCATGAAATCACACAGTACTTATGCTCTCGTTAACCAATCTTAATTAGATGTAGTGGAACTTCCTCACTGAATTCAAACAAAACTACTTTTGAACTGCAGGATTTTAAATACATTTCGGTCCATGTTACATTCCACACGTCTACTGGAGCACCTTAAAGTGTGACTGGGGATTAGACAGTCGTAGTGTTTTGGTTGTTGTGAGGCTCGAGCTGCTGCAGGATGTTACAGTAATGGAAGGGAAACGTCACAGTAGTCGTGGGGTTGCGAGTTGTTGGAGTTGTGATGACCTGTTCCCCTTCCTTCACTTTCAGAAAGGGAGTGGAGGACAGTCAGCGGCTGCGTCGGCGCCGTCATGTCGTCCACAGAGAGCGCACTGACTCCACCAGCTCCAGCTCCATCTATTTCACAGCCAGCCAGGGCATGGCCAGTGCGTATGACGAGACCAGTGAGGGAGGGTATGTGTCTTCACTTGTTTTTGTGTATTCTTCTTTTCTGGTGTCCCTCTCTCATACGATACTAATGCTAGTAGCATACTGCATTGATTGTTATTCCTCTGCGCCCGCGACACACAACGCCTGGACAGAACTGCTTCAAATTTGGCACAAACATTCACTAGGACTCAAGGACAAACTGATTCGATTTTGTTGGTTAAAGGTCAAGGTCACGGTGACCTTGCAAAACACTTTTTAGCCCTAACTCAAGACTTTACACAGCAATTATGACATTTCAAACCAATGGTTCATATTTGATATGACTCTGGAGAAAAGTGAAGGAGGCAGACAACCACCAGGAGGTGATTCTAGTTTGTCCAGTAGTCGGTATACATTTGCTCTTTCATACTCATTGGATGCATTGACACTTTTTTTTGACAAAATTGATGAGTGCAGCTTTAAAGTGTTGAGCTGTCTTTTCTTAGTGTCTTTGCTGTGTGGGTCAGACTAAGAGGCAAAAATCTTCTTCCTCCTTGACACCTGAAAAGACTCAAGCAGTGATGGTGTGTGTTCAGTAGTGCTCTGTGTAGGACCATGTCAGGCTGAGATCCAGGTCTGATCCAGCTTGTGGGCGCTGTTGATTGGCTTTTTAAGCTTAATCAGCTAATTCGTCAGAGACAATTACAGATAGTTAAATGGTGCCCTATTTGCACTAACTTACTTAACACTAAGTCACTGACTGACTGACTGACATTTATTCTTATGGAGAGTTTAGAATGGAAATGGCACAGTGTTGAAAACATGCCAGGTGTGGCATAATACTGGTCTTACTCTCAAACTGATGGTTCAGTCTTTTTAATTTCAAACCTTCTTTGTACTGTAGTTCACTTAATACACAGTGAACACACTGTAAGAGCTAACAGAAAGAGCAAACAAACATAAAAACATTACCATCTTTTCATATATATATCTTCTCTTATAACATTCAATTATTCAATTTTACATTTGCTGCAAAGAATGAATTAGTATTTATTATCTCCATTCATGAAATACTCCATTTAAACGGTATTTAATAATCTTTTTTAATCAAATTAAATATTTAAATGTCCATGTTTTCTGTTCTTGCCGTTAATGATAATAATTAAGCTATCTTACACTGCCTAATTTATAACTCCACTGCACAGCTATAAAAACGCACTGTCAAAACAAAAGTTAAAATGAAACACACATGTAGCTTGCGCCTCTATCAGCCAGGTGCAGAACGAACTAAAGATATCAAAGTGTCCCTTTAGAAAACACCATGTCACCATGTTGACGTAACTTTTTTTTTTTTTACTTTCGTTTTTCTCGCTGACGTCATTGTATTTCAAAATAAAAGCATGACCTTTGCAATAAAACCATCGGCACAAATAAAAACCACAGGCTTTAGTAAATATGTATAAAATGATTAAACATAAGGCTAACGCATTATGAAATTATATTTGACCATCCTAAAGGTCATTTGCACAAGGGGCTTCTTTGGTGGGGGTTTGTGGTTTCCATTACACAGGAGATAATGAAATACAATCCAGGACGGTCGGTGTGAGTAATAGATCCAAGAGCTTGAAGGCCTATTAGATGCAGAGAGCTGGACAGTTATCACAGTGACAATCATTTTATCTCCTCTGATGGTAAATGGTAGAAATACATTATTCAGTACAAGGTAATCTACTAGGAATGTACTTCCTGCATGTATTTGGCCAACACAGCACTTTGCTGGATTATGCTGCATGGTGTTGCAGCAAAAACTGACCCAGGTTAAAGTGTTTCAGTGCACAGGCTGAAGTGTTTTTTTCCAGAGTCCCCTGCATCAGCAGCATGTGTGTCGATGCCAAATATGATTTTTTGACACTCGCTAATGTTGGTTTTTCTTGTTTTCTGACCTCTGTGGTATTTAGACAGATAAAACAAAAACTGTCTTATGAACAAATACCACATTAATTATGGTGAATTAACTCTCAAAGGTAATCATCAATCAATACACTGTAGTGTGAAATTCAAGTGTTGTTTCTTTCTCTACATTGACATCATTTTGCAGATAAATGAATACTGAATAAGTAACAGAGGACCCCCCCCCCAATATGTCCCAGGTACTCCACAGCCTACGCTGAGTCAGACTACACAGACCGTGATACAGACAAAGAGGAGGGGGAGCAGCAGCCGGAGCAGGAGTCTGAGGAGGAGGAAGATAGGAGCTGTGCCACAGTCCTCACCCTTCGCCAGGAAGACTCACAGGAAGAGGAGGTGGAGGAAGATAGGGAGCTAGAGGAGGAGGAGGAGAAGGACGAGGACAATGATGAGGGGAGGCTGCAGCTGGTGACTGAAGTTCCCAGTGGGGAGCTGGCTCTCCTCCTGGCTCAGAGTGACATCCTCCACACAGGAGACGCCAGTCTGAAGGCAGAGGGCTTTCGCCTGCTGGTGGACAACAGAGCCGAGGTGAGTGACCAAATACCATGTTGTATTCTCATCGTCATGCGATATGAACATGTGCAATAAACACATTGGGAACGACTGAAAAATCATGATGAATTAGAAAGAAATCATTTGATTTACATGCAACATGCAGTCAAAGGGTTTTCAAAGTGCAGCACCTGAGCCAAATGAACCGGAAAACTCTACTGCATTTTGGTGTCGGGCTGCAGCCTCTCCTTTCTGAGACACACACAGTGGACAGCACAGAGGTGGCGATGGAGACCAGTGAGATGTAAACATTTTACTGGAGCTCACAACAACTACAGTCGTAGCTCTGTGGGTGTCATCAAAACGAGAGTTAAACATGTAGAAACGCTACACTTTCAACTTCTCTCATCTACCACAGTTTGTTTTCCACGAGCGCAGGGCACTAACGTTAAGCTAACAGCAAACTATTTAGAACAAGGAAAAGTTTCTGTATGTAAAGTGCAGCTTCACCCCCCCGGCAGTGTTACATGCCGCAGAGGGAGGAGGACGGAGGAGACAGTGACTGATATGACCTTTGTCTGTGTTCTTCATTCAGCTCCACTCAGTTTCAGCTTCAGTGTTTTCATGTCAGGAATATTATTTAGTAGTGTATTGACATTTTACATTATTATTTATATAGTTTATATACAGGGACACAATTTTTTTTTCATTTCAATCTTGTTGAAAATTTGATCCTTTTTAAAAATAAGAGGAAGACTCAATAGAAGTATCAACAAAGAGCCTGATAAGCTGTACTGTATTGATGAGATAAACATAACATTATATCATTTCACCTGATGAGAGAACCTCCACTGTCTCACCACTGTAACCTCAACATGAACCTCCAGACACAAAATCTGCAGTTACACTCTGCATGTGAACATGTGACTTGTCAGATGGATAGCTGGTTAACAACACAAAGAATTGAAAGGAAAGAGTCAGAGACAGTGATCTCTCCTCTGTAAAGCAAAAAAGAAAAATTGACCTTCCTACATGTTTCCTCTGCTTCAGTTCAGTCCTGGATGTTCTGTTGTCATCATTACAATAAAAAGTGCTCTGAGAAAGTGTTATTTAGCCTCCATATTGTTACGGGGGTTGGATGTGGGCCGCCATCATTTTCGAGATTTTCAAGTGGGCCATGAGTTGGAAAAGGTTGGGAACCACTGATCGAAAATATTCTCATGGAATATCAAACCTTCAGTGAAAAATGAGTAGTTTCACTTGTACAGACACTGTGTAAATCTCTGAGGGATCACCAGAAGTGTGGTGCAGCTGTGCAGCCGTGCCTGTAGATGTCAGTGCAGTCAGCTGAGCTGTCAGTCAGAGGTCACTAGCACAAACATACTATATGTTTTACAGACAACATGCCACACACTTCTGTGGATTGGATTAATATTTGGCAACAAGCCTGGCATCAGCAGTCTGCATGAATTCTACTATTTATTAAAGTTGTTGTATTAGTTACATTTTTAAGTGAGCGTGTTCACTGTGCTGTCTGGTGCACAATGATTGATTTTCATAAATCTGTAGCTGCATCTATAAGGAAACAGTAACAGACTTTGCAGGTGTTTTGTTCAGATTGTTTTAGCTGTTCGGACATGATGTTTCTGTGGTGATGATAACAGTGGTCAGTTGTCTTCTGACAGCAGTGGCTGCTACACAGCAACCAGGATGATCTAAGTGTGTGGTGTGATCATGTTCTTCAGTAATGAATCCCCCTAAACGCTGACGGGTGGGTTTCTGTGTCTGAGTCTGCAGTATGGAGACAGCAGGGAGTTTCTATGGCGACTGGCTCGGGCCTACAGTGACATGTATGAGTCAACTGAGGACAAACAGGAAAAGAAGACCTATGCACAGCAAGGTAATGGACACACACACACACACACACACACACACACACACACACATTCAATCAAAATAAAACAAATAAGATTGTCAGTGGAGCCTAAATGAAAATAAATTGTACTCTCAGTTTTTAAAAAAGTTAACTGGAGAAAAAGAGAGAAGACATTTGGAAGTGCTGCTTGGAGACAGGAATCTCACTAAAGATTAACACCAGAGATCAAATGCATAAAATTAAAACTGTGAACAAAAAGAACAATTTCACTGATAGTGAAACTGAGGGAAAAACATGCATCAGTTTACTTTAGCACAATCACTCTGATGTAAAGTCCTGTTTTACTCTGAGCTTCATTTATTGGGACCAGAGAGTCTTAATGAGGCTCCAGAGGCTCCAACACTGTGATTAGTAAATATTCAAATAGTATCAAACAGTTACAGAATGACTCACAATAAATAATTAGGATATTAAACGATGATGAATGAGCACAAACACAATTATTTCTGTTTATTAACTGTAGATTTGTTATTGCTGTGTAAATGGTAAAACTGAATGAATGAAGCTCTGTGAAGTCGGTTATTTTATTTTATGTTAAATTAAGTGTCTCTTATTTTGGATTTTCACTGTAACTTGGATCACTTTGGGAAACTGTGTGTACACATGGTCAAAGGATTGTGTGAGGTGACACAGCCTGTGTTTATGAATACCAAGTTATGTGTGGGGAAATGGCGCACGCATGGTTTTTGTGTGTATGCATCATTTTGAATCTGGCCACTGGAGTTTGCATCTTGAGGTTTTTGGGATTACCCTGTGAGCTGCTGTTGCAGGATGTGAGGAGGCAGAGCGCGCCCTGAAGAAGAACGGCCTGAACGCTGAGTGTCACAAATGGTAAGAACACGAGAGTCACTGAGCTTTTAACATCTGGGTTTCACCTCTACATAGATATTTTTCCCACCACTCATATTCTGATGTCACAGTTACTGTGTGTTTGTGGCTCCAGGTTTGCTGTGCTGACAGGACTGACGTCCCAGCATGAGAGCATGCACGGCAAACTGAAGAGCGGCCACATACTGAAGGTACTGCAGGAACACTTGTAGCTGACTCAGATAGACGCAGTGATGCAGGTTAAACCTGTGTCAGGTCTGTTTGAATAGGTAAACCCTGCTCTACACAGGTCAAATGATGGCCAGCTTTACTGAACTGGTGTCACTACCAGGAATAGAAATAAGGACAGAGAGAGAGAGAATATTAAAATGTAACATGATCAGAGAAATTCATAAGAAACTAGCTTTCACAGAGCTGGATGACAGTGGGAAGCAACAAATGAGGAGAGGGACATGCAGCAAACTGAGCTGCACTATATGTGACTCTATGTCACAAAGTGAGGGACACAAGTTTAAAGCTCCATATTTTCCTCTTCTTCTGTGTTTTATTTGAAGTGTCGATCCATAAGAAGATATATTTGTGGTTTTAAGAACTCAAAAACCATCTCAGTGTAGTTTTACATCTCCTCTCTCAGGCTTCTCTCTGGAGCTCTAGTAACAACAGGTTGGTGAACCAATCAGGAGAGAGGAGGCTCTGAGCCTCTCTTCTGATTGGCTGACTGTTTTCTGAGTGATCCAATAAAAATATAGCAGATTTCAGGTAAACACTCAGAAACCAAATCCTGTTAGGTTTGGATAGAGGGTCCAGGTGGGGGGGGCTTGGGGCATGGCTGAGGGTGGTGACTGTTTTGTTGTGACATCACAAAGTTCCAGAAGTCCTGACGGCTGGTTTTAAGGCTCAGTTTCTGAATCCAGATCTGTATTCTGAAACTGAGCCTTAGTGAGTGAGACAGAGAGAGAGAAAAGAGAAAGACACAGTGAGAAAGAAGGAGAGAGAGTGAGACAGAGAGAGATACATTGAGAGAGAGTGGAGTCTCTGCTGACAGTGAGCAGCGGGGACAGCTGTCGGCATGGATCATGGACCCAGAGTATGAAGGTGTCTGGATTCATCTCTACCCTTTAGAGTTGTTCAGAGAACTTGTGTGATATCTTTCCTCCACCCAGGAGCACCTGGACCGTGCCATTGCCCTCAGAGACGACGACCCCATGTGTTTCTACCTGCTGGGCAGATGGTGCTATGAGGTGAGAGTGCCTGTGTTGTGTGTTGTGCTGCTTATTGTTGACTAAAGGCAATCGCGTCTAAAGTCAGTGTTTCCTGGTTTGTCTGTGTCTCTGCAGGTAGCCACTCTGGATTGGCTGGAGAAGAAGGCGGCTGCAGCCCTATACCAGAGCCCCCCCTCCTCCACCCTGCATGACGCCCTGGAGAACTTCCTGAAGGTAGAAGTCCACAGACCACAGGCTGAGGGTGTTTTCACACTTATATTTGGTCTGCTCTGGTTCAAGTTGGTAGACGAGTTGTTGACTTGAAAAAATGTGAAGTAAACTAAAATGCATCACTGACAGCCATGTGAGACTGTTCACTGCTCTGCTTGGACAGATGTGTGTCAAACAGGAAGAGGGTCGTAAGGAAGGTTCTGCACAAATATCAAGAAGCAACAGACATAAGTGTCAGTCCAGCTCCTGACATCCTGGTGCACAAAGCACACCCGCCTACAGGAGCTGTGTTTTGTAGTTCAGATGTAGGTCAGATTGAGGTCTGATCATGTTCCCGCCACAAATGAACCACTCCAGACCTAGACCACCTCCTCTGAAGGGCTTTGGTGCGGTTGGTGCAGAGTGTGAGGGGCTGCGCTCACGTCTGTGATGCATTTAACTCAGTCACAGTTCACCAGAGGTCGTGCGCTGAAACAAACAGAACACACATCGTGTCCACCACGTCTCGTATATCTTTTGCTTTGCTCTTTAATAAACACTGTGTGAATCAACTTGCTCCAGAGTGAATGTGACTGAGCCAAGATCTGTGGTGTTGGAGGTGAGAGACATTAAGTACCTTAGGTGTCCCAGAGTCTACAGTAATGCTCCTCTCCTGTATAGACATTTATCTACAGCTGGTTCAATGTCCAGCCACTGCATAACTCTTGTTTTGTCGATTAGTTAGTTTGTTTAAAAGGGACCAGTATTGTAAGTATTGTATTATTAAATATTTTTGTCTGTATTGATAGTATGACAGTGACAGTGAATGGTTTTCATTCTTAATTAATATTCTACATGGACATGTGACTGTTGACACTTTGTCTTGTGTGTTGTGTGAACCTGCAGGCAGAGGAACTCAGTCCAGGTTTCTCCAAGACTGTGAGACTTTACATCGCCAAGGTAAACACTGAGCAGAGTCATTCTACACATGACACAGTGGTGTCACTGCAGAGACACTTTCACTGTGTGATTATTACATACACCGACCATCTGAACATGACTGACGCAGTTTGCATCAAAACTGGTCAGACCATGTGGCCTGAACACTGCAGGAGTAAGTGTGACGTCTGTCAAGAACAGCTATTTTTAAGTAGAAAAACCTCACAGTCATCTGATACAGACACTTACTTCAGTACTCGAGTACTCACTCATTCCCTCCAAAAAACAAGGAAGATATCGTGTGGGAGGTAAGAGTAGAAAGTAACTTCATGAATATGAGCTTTTTGTTTTCCACCGTCTACACATTTTTTGACTTCACTAAGGCTCAGAATATAGATATAAATATATTAGATAGACAAAACCTGTTGGATGCAAAAAACCAGAAAGATTTCACCTTGGATAAAAGAGTGAAGAAACAGGAGGGGTTATAGGGAAATGATAATCAATGAATTATACTAGAGACTGGGAATCATTTTCAACAATAACACATCAGGGTGTATTTTCTATCTTTTTCTTCCCTCTTCATCAGTGTGTTTTGATGAAAGCTAATCACCATGTTGTTTGACTTGTAGTGTCACCAGGAGCTTGGAAACATCTCTGAGGCCACAAACTGGACCGAGCTGGCTCTGAAGATGTCCACAAACACTAATGATGTAAGAGGTCACACACGTCACCCTCACACCTGAAATCCTCTCCATTGCATGTCAAAGCTATATGGAACGCAGACTGGTCCAAAACCTGTTTATTTATGTCTTAAGACATAAAGACAGAAAATGCTGCGCTAACACACAAATTCTGAACGTCTTAAGACGTTTAAATTGTGTTGGTGTTACCACTTGATCAATTTCTGAGGCCTTATAGACCTGAAGCATTTCAAGAGAAGAAACAATTCCCTATCAACCCATGAATTGAGGTTAGGAATATTGACATATATATATAATACCGATATTATTAACATCAGCTTTTTTTTAATAATCTATCTCTTATTGAGAAAAATTTAACTCCAATATCATATTGACATATTTATTTCATGTGATGTGTTTGTCTAAGTGCCACTAGATGGCAGTATTAGAGCACAAATGGCTATCTGTTGAATTTGGGTTCTGTAATCGATTTTAATAAAAATAAATAAATAAATAAATAAAATTCTACATTTGTCCTTTCATGAACAGACTGTGGATCAGGAAGGTCTCCTGTTAAATGCCACATTTGTGTTTCAGTGATTTAGTCAAGAGTTTTAACTAATTCCTGACCCCCCCTTCCCCCTTCACACAAATGGACTGTCCCAAATACTGATTCACAGTTGCATATCAGACACATGATAGGTATGTAGCCCAAACATACTCAATAGCAAGAACCCACATGACCACAACGTAGGCATACATACAGCCCAATGTATATGAAATGTAGCCCCTCTTTCAAAAAGGGGTGGGTATATGTAGACGCCGACCAATAGCATGGAAGTATCGATGGTCCAAGCATCTATCTTAAGACGCTTGGACCATCAATACTTCCAACATCTTAGTTCAAAATTAGCGTGTTAACACAGCACTTTCTGTCATCTTTAGATGTGCAAATTTGATGCCTAAATGCTGACGTCAGTATAGACGTTTCTGACCCGCGTTCCATAAAGCCACATGATGTTCAGCCATACAGTGGAAATGTTAGTGTTTATAGCTTTGAATACTGAAGCAGTATTCATAAAATGAAGCAAAAGCAAATAATGAATTCATCAGATGTGTCAGGATAATAAAAATAAAAAAGACTAACTGTACACACACACGACACAATTACTCCTATTCATTGTTTCCTTCTTTTCATTTCAAAGGATGAGCAAATGTCTAAACTGGAGACTCAGCTTCGCGTCTTGACTGACAGAAAAATCTGAAACAGTAATTTCTTCTGAGGTCCAGCAGATGGAGCCACTCAGCTGGTGGCACCGATTGGCCAATGAGTGACCATCCAATCAGATGTGCAGTACAAATGGCACACTAATTTTTCTTTCCCTCTATTAGTGGATATGTTTGTTTTGCTGTCACTGTGAAATGAAATGCAGTTTATTGATGTTTATTTATTTTCTGCAAACTTTATTCTGGCTGAGCCGAGTTGGTGACTAATACAGATTGTAGTGTATGTGGTATCTTTAATATTTTTTTTAACATTTTGCTTTTTTTTAACTGAGAATTAGTGAATAAACATAAACAGTGAATAAACAGTTTTATTTGTGAGCAGGATTAGGTCACCTAAATTAATTTTATTGTTATTATTGTTTAACATGATTACATGAGTACCATGATGTCACACACACAAGGTTAAAACAATACTGGCCCTGGTGTCGCAGCTGGTTTTCATCCTTCCCTCTAGTGCAGCCTTTCTCAAAGTGTGGTCATGTCAATATCATGTTTTAAATTTAGTTTTTGTCAAACTGTCTCAGTGACTATAAAGTCTATAGCAAGCATTGTATGTGTTGTTTTCAATATTCAACCCACTCATGTAAATTCAAACATTGCTCATGTTCATTGTTGTGTGATAATTCTGTGGCTACATAAATAGGAACACATGTTGCTGGTTAGAGTGTGAGCTGCAGGGTTTGCTGATAAGCAAAACTCTAGACCTAGTTAGGGAGACCAGGTAGCTGAGTGGGGTTAAGTGCATGTTTTGTTAAGTCTCCAGTTTGATTCCCAGCTGGTTGGACTTGTCAGTCCCCCACTCCCTTCACTGTCTTATCCAATAAAGGCATTAGAATCCAACCCCCCCCCCCCAATCACGTATCCTCAACCTCGATGGAAAACGCCATGAGGTCAAAGATGTGAAGAAGTCTTAAGGATTTAGGAAAATAATCTGACTGCGCTTTTTCTTCTTTCTTCATGACGACTCCTGACTGATTTAAAGAGGATGAATCTGTATTTATGGATTCAGGCTTCAGTGGATCACACAAGGATTTCCATCAGTTCTGGATGGTCTCACAAACATAAAACAGCTGCTCTGATGTTTCTACATTTATTTGGCTCTGCTGTGGTGAAACTACTTTAAATGTTGCTGCAGCAAGGAATTGTGGGACGGCATTTCTCCTCTCCTCTCATTAAGGAAGGACCAGTGTTTCCTCTCCTAAAGGAGATAAGATAGGAAGCACTGAAGCTCCTTTCCTCATCACTTAGAGAAGTGGAGCAGCTGTGATCATGGCTGCTGCTCAGATACTTCAGCTCCTTTCACTCAGTGAGGAGCCTTCATAAGAAGAAAGAACACACCACCACACTGAAGATATTCTGACATTTAGAATAAATGTGACAGAGGGAAAATGATGTGGAAGCTAAAAGCAGTATGTTCAGGGATGTTTGAAGATCTTATTTTTTTGGGGGGGGAGGGGGAGGGTTAATGACACTTTATTAATGTAGATGTAGTGATAACACTAGTATTTTGATCTGAGTATCTGTTTTAAAACTCGATTGGCTTTTTTTCACTTAAGGACCCCCCCAGCAGATGGTGCAGTATAAAGCAGCTGTACTGGACCATGTGCAGCCCTCAGTAAACTAACACATGGAGTTTCCTGTTTGGTTGTGACTGTGAAAAGTGTCCTAATATTTTTGTCCCCTTATGTTTTTACATCTGTTATTTTCTGAAGTGAAAGTAAAGCTGCAGTTTTCTCTCAGGTCATTGGTGATCTAACATCACTTTAATGGCTCTTTGTGTTTTCTATTCTCTTGCAGTCACTGCTGTGATATTACGATGAATGAACATGTCATTTCCCAATATTCTGACTCCTCAATGAAAAGCTTATATGCACTGAAGAGACTCATGGATTACTACAGTGGTCCCGAGAGCTCAACACACAGCATCTTAAGAAAACGTATGCAAATAGACAAAACACAAACATTCAGAAAACATCATCAGTTTGACAACACCTGCTGCTAATACAACACAACAGAAGTGTTTCCAGGGGACACTAAAAAGTGATGAACCTGCTGGGACTTGTTCAATGCTTTGAGACTTTTGACATTGAACAGGTGTGTCCCAGATAGGTGCATTACTTTTTCTTTTAAGTTATTTTTAGAGTGTTGCATTCGCAGCACGTGTGAAGTTGTTTGTGTTTTGTCCGTTTGCATTGCTTTTCTCAAGTTGCAGTGTGTTGAGCTTCCAGGGCCACCGTACATTACAAACCCTGACACCACCCTTCCTCAGTAATGCATATGTGTAGCCAACCCTCCATAAGAACATGGTAACAGCTGACACAGTATAGAATCCTTCCATGATGACGATGCTAACACGTGGATTTAATAGTAAAAGAAATTTAATTTAGCTATTAATCACACATACAGAATACGCAAGGTTCTGGTGAAGAGAAAATGAAAACATCACTTTACAGAAATGTAAGGAGATCTTTGTAGGAAATCATTGTTTCAAATGCATCCTAGAAAATAAAAGCTTCACTGTTAGACATCCAGAGAAGACAACACTCAACAGAAAGATACAGAAGAAAAAATCCCACAAAATATTTAAGTTTTTTACAATAGTTTTTTCAAACCCACTCTTGATGAAACTGCAGGAGTGCACTGCGTTGAACAAAGACAAAAAAAAACTGCAGCCATTTTCTGTAATTATGACTTAGCATTTCATAATTATGAGATCTCACACATTAAAGGTCTAATAAGTGACGAAGAACTCACAATTACCTAATAAATGTCATGTTGATATTTTATGAATGTCATGAGATTTCTTGTAATTAAAGGGATGCTAAATCATGAGCTACCAATCAGGTAATTATAGAGTTTATCTCATCATAGTGTAACAGATCTCATAATTATGAAATACTACGTCAGTTTCTTTTTCCTTTGAGTGCAGAAAACTAAACTTTTCATCCTGCTGTTGCATCACTGGGCTGCATGAAGCCAGATGTGCAGCTGGACCGTCTCATCCACTCAGTGAAGACAACTCATAATCCCATCAGTCTGAGGCCTCGTGTGACAGCAGTAGTATGGGGCACTATAGTCCAAGAGACAGTATGTTTCCCAGCACCCTCTGGTTCCTGCCTCTCTGCCCGCTCAGTCCTTGGCATCGCCCACTCCGTCAGCATTAATGGCGAACATGGCTTCAGCCTCTGGCAGGCAGGGTGAGTCGTAGATTTTACAGATCCTCGTCTCTCCTCGGCCTTTCCTCAGGTACAGACTGTGAGAATAAGACCAGTGTTAGGAGTAGTGTTACGAGGGATGAGACCACACTGTCATTAAGCTGCAGTTGTCAAAGCATTTCAGCACCTGTAGTTCACCTTTCCATGTACACACACTTCATTCTGAACAGACATTTAGAAAAATTGGACACATTGAACATTACAAAGCACAGATAAGAATGGGGATAAAATGGTAGCACAAGCATCCTGCCGACACATTCAAACACGTCAAAATCAAGCAGAGCCAACACGACACTTTAATCGGAAAAAAAAGATGAGGACAAAATAGGAGGATCTGTGCTATAAAGCCAAACCAGGATTCTCCACTCAGATGTGTCTGTAGCATGTGCAGCTGTAGTCAGTGGAGGACTCACTGAAATCAGTTGATCCATGTTCAGATCCTGCTGCTGTGTATCTATCTGAGAGGAGCTGTGACACACAACATCCACTGACTGAACAGTAGAAGGAGGAGCATGGATATGAAGAAAATCACCATAGTGCAGTACACATGGCTGACTGTACTGCTGTGTAATGTTTCACACGGAACATTCAGAATTGGCGCAGGAGAGGACGATCATAGTGCAGCTTATGTTACTGTATCTTTAAATCAGTAAATAGCAAAGCTGTTTATTCATGTCACGCAAATGTACGAAAGTCAATTACATGTTAATCTGCATGAGAAATAAAGAACAAGGACTAGATTTCCTGCCTTGTGGTTGTCGCCTCTGCCAACCAGCCAAGTTACAGGAAACTTGGAATCTCTCCTTCCTGAGTTACAGTGTTGAATAATGACCAGATTTTTTTTATAGAACATTATGATGTCACAGTGAAGTTGATGTTCGACCTTTTAGATATAAAATGTCATCGCTTCATTTTGTCCAATTCGACATTTGAGTTAAATTGTGTCACAATTAGTGAATGAATTTGTGAGTTATGGCCAAACATGTTTTGAGGTCACAGTGACCTTTGACCACTAAATTTCCTTTCATCCTTTCCATTCAAGTGAATGTTTGTACTAGGGCTGGGCAATATGGTCTAGAAGTAATATCGGGATATTTTTAGGCTATATTTGGATATTTTGAAATCTCCTGTATGGAACTTGTTCGCAATATTGTCATTTACTACATCCCAGGTGGAACAAGCAGCGATACATCGAGTATATTCCATATTTTACAAATTTAAAGAAATTCCCTCAAGATGTTACTCAGATATTGTGTTCACGAGAATGAGACGGACTGACGACGTGTCTCAGTCTGATGAAGAGAAACACTTTTTCTTCACTGCATCACTCACCGTGTAGTGGAAGCATGAGCCATGATGTTGCCACCGATTGGTTTCTTGGGATCTGCAGAGAACATGGCTGCCCCGTCCACCTGTGCTACGACCTGGTTGGTTATCACCACAGCAACACCAAACTGTGACACAGATCAGATAAAAATATGAAACATCCTGGGTCAGTATGCATCATATGTGGACTGTGTAGATTCAGTCCGTTAAATTGGACTGTGAACATGACTAAACTAGAATAAAACACATCACAGTATCCTGGATACATGATGACACCACCAGACAACCAGGACAAACCCCCCTTCCTACCCTACCTCATCTGCCAGCCTGAGCAGCATGCGGAGGAAACGTCCCAGGTGTCCCTGTCTGGCTGACAGCTCTCCTCTACCTGAGTAGTCTGTTCTGTACAGAGCAGTGGCACTGTCCACTATCAGCAGAGCATACCTGACACATAGGGAGAGAGAGAGCGTGTGTGTGTGTGTGTTAGCTGCAGGGATACACACAAGACAAGACAGTCACATTGAAACGTCACAACAGATACAAACATCCATGGAAAAGCAGAATGGCTAATGCTGCAGCAAGTGTTCAGTTAGCGCTGCAGTGGTTACATTTATTAAGTTTCAAAAAACAAACTCATTGTGGAGATAGAAAGTGTAAACTGTAATATAGACAGCTGTTGTCCTTCTGAAAGTTTCTCTAGAGCTCAGACAGACCATCAGGTTCTTGGTCTCCTCTCTTCTCTCTGATGTCTCAGTTAGTCCAGGTCCAGCTCTAAAGAGTCCTGGTTGTTTATGTTCATATGGTTGTTTACAATAGGGCTGTCCCAAACGATTATTCTTTAAACGATTAATCTAGCGATTATTTTTTCGATTATTCAACTAATCTAACGATTATTTTTTTTATTAACCTAACAGTAATTTTATTGCAATTATTTTCCAGTTAGTCATTTAATATAACAATTTGCCCCGTTCAACACACACACACAGACAAATGAAGATGCACTTTGCAGAGTCTGCAGACTACCGCACTGTTGGTGTCAAGATTAAAGTATTCCCAAACTCTGGAGGACCGTGTGTGAGCCTTTTTTGCCGCGTGTTGCTCCACACGCTCCGTCTTACTGCTGGTAGACGCCGCCATGTTGTTCAAATAGATTACACAGACGCAAATCATTCACGTAGTCAATGACTTCAATTACGTCACCGCGTTGTCCCAGCCCTTGTGCTGCGCTTGTATCCAGGTAAACCAAAGACGATGGATATAAACTCTAAATTCTATAATTAGAAAGTTCCGGTTTTGTTCTATGAACATTTACCCTGTGTGGTTTTACACGACGCGTCAACACTAAAATTCCACGTCGAATAATTTTTATAATCGACAACGTCCATTACGTCGGATAATGGTCCCAGCCCTAGTTTACAATGAATGATGGAGACCACTGTTCTTCTCAGGAACCTTCAGCAGAAATGTTTTTGAGCCTTGACACAGTCCTGTCTCTGAGCTCTGCAGCATCCTTCCTCCTCATGGTTTCTGCTCTGATCTGCATCGTCAGCTGTGAGACTTTATATAGACAGGTGTGTGTCTTTCACATCATGTCCAATCAGCTGAGTTCACCACAGGTGGACTCCAGTCAGGGTGTAGAAACATCTCAGAGATGATCCAGAGAAATGGAGGAGCCTGAGCTAAACTTAGAGTCAGAGTAAAGTGTCTGAATACTTTTATCAATGTGAGATTTCAATTAATACTTTTTAATATATACTTGCAAAACTTTCTAAAATCCTGTTTTCACTTTATCAGTATGGGATACTGGGTGAAGACTAATAAATGATTTTTATCATAAAACTGCAACAGAAAGTGAGAAAAAGGTGAAGGGGTCTGAAGACTTTCTGAATGAACTGTATGGTTATACACAACAGCATGTCAAGCACAAGGTAATACTCTGAAAGCACAAGCATTTTGTACTCACTGACCTGGACTCAGCCATCATGGCAGAAGCTTGATACAGCAGCTGGGTCTGATGATCTGTGTTGAAAGCTCGAGCGTAGGCCACGTTGTCTAGAACATCACTCCCTACCAGCCCATACCTGATGACAGAGAAATGACATCACATGAAACATCAGGCATGGAGGGGGTCAAAACTCCAACAACAACTTTATTGTGAGACCAATGTGCTTGAGCTTGTGGCCTTCATCAGCTGATGAGTGATGACTCACCTCTCAGCTACAGCAAGGAGTCTCTCTGGTCTGAAGGTTCCCTCTGTGTCAATGTACATGGCTTTACCTTCTCCGCCCCCCTGATCAATGGGCAGCTGTGGACAAAAAGGACAGTGCCATCGTTTTGAAATTTTAAGCACCTGATACTGTGTAGACATTAAGAACTGTAGACACACCTTCTTCATGATTTGATTTTTTCTTCTTTAAAATTAAAGGATAAAGTTTCTGTGATTTTCCTTTGTCATCTGATCGTTACACAACGCTCTGACTGCATCACAACTTTTTGTGACAGCACTGAGGCTTTCTCAGCAGAATAACTTTGGACTGTACCTGACACGTGACAGCGAGTGTGTGGCACAGCTGGGTCTTTCCCGTGCGAAACTCTCCAAACATCTCTGTGATGGAGCCCGTCTCAATCCCACCTGCAGGGGAAGCAGGAATCAAATGAACATAGTTTTGCTGCCGTATGTAATTACCGTGTTCACACAACACAACCTGGGTCTAATGAACATCTCAAAACAGGACTTTGAGATAGTGGTTGGCCCAGTATGTGCCAGATGGTGTTGTTCCACAAATTCAGCATTGACAATCAGGGTGAACGTCACGATAGATAGACAGACCTTGTAGTAGTTTGTCGAGCTCCTTGGAGCCTGTGGAGATCTGGATGATTTCTGCTCTCCTCTGGTGGAACTCAGTGGCTGTGGTGAAGCCCATAGGCACCAGTTTGGCTGCTTCAGTCTGGCATTGAAGAAATAATAAAACAAAAAAAAAAATTAGAATATAATAAACTTTTTTGGTTTGGCACCTTTCATACAAGAAATGCAGCAGGAGGTGCTTTAAGAAATTACATGCACCAAGTGCTTCACATGAAAAGACATATGAACACATGAACATGAAAACATGGTAAAAACATTAAAGATGGAATAATAATAAAATAACAGAAAAAATTAAACAAATAAATAATTAAAATAAGTTAAAAATGGATTACATAGAATATATCACATCAGTAAGACACAAGTCCAACATTTCAGAGCTGGTTAAAGGTCATGTGTTCCATAGCTTTGGACCATAACTGACAAAGGCTGCATCCCTCCAACTGTCACTGGGAACCTTCAATAAAGCAGCAGATGATCTCAGTGTTCTTGGAGGTCTATAGTTAACATGGAAGTTAGAGATGTAGCTTGGTCGTCACCCATTAAGGGCTTCATACATAAGGAGGAGGAGCTTAAAAGCAATTCTAAATGTAACAGGAAGTTAAACTGGCCTGATGTGGTCTCCGCTCTTGGTTCTGGTTTACAGCTGAGCTGCAGAGTTTTGAGTGAGCTCAAGTCTCAGGGTTTCTTTTGATTTATAAATGGCCATACTTCAGCTGTTTCTAAGGTGGAGAGATGATGTTTTCTTCACCTTGATAATGTGGGAATTGAAGCTCAGATATGAATCTAAGATAGTCTCAAATCACAGAGACTTGTAACCTCAGGTTTAACCTAAAATACAGTATTTAAAAATCCCAGCACAAGTCCAGACATTGTAGGTGTAGTGCAACACAGTATCTACTGCACAGCCTGTTTCTCAGCTTCATTCCTGAGTGAAGGAGAGAACTGAGCTTATGTCTGTTTCAATCAAATTCATCCATGGCCCTGCCAGACCATAATGAGAGTGAGCCACTAATATACAAACTTGGCTTTGAATACTGCTCATTTTCTCTCATTCTCATTTCACTAATTGTAGAATCTGCACAAGAAACAAGGTTGTCACTTCAAAAAATCTCCACCACTATCAAAGATATGTGCATGTGTGGTGCCAGCAGAAAAAATGAAATGCTGCATCAGGACTGTGCAGCCAGAACTCATGAATTACTGTTGTTTCTTACAAGAATTTTGTCAGCTTTGGCCTCACTGATGCCCTTGATGTTGAGCAGCTCCTTCTTGGGTGCATAGGCCACTGCCTCAATAGTGTGGAAACCTGCATCCTCCATCTTCTTGATGTCACTGGCACTTATCCCACATTGCTGCAATGGGAGAAGTTGGAATGAGAGACAGCCACATGCAAACTCACTAGGAGATAGAAGAACGAGAATTAATATATGTTTCACAAGTATGATGGAAAACCAGTTAGGACAATAATGCTTGAAATTAATACAATATCTTATTTTTCAGTTCTTCCCAGCAGCATGACAATAAATTCTATTGATATAATTAATTACATGAACACGAACTGGACCCGGGTGAGCAGCAGAAAATGGAGGGATGGACAAACCAAATGAAAATGATTAATTGTTCAACACTTCAACACCGTTCTGAGCTGCTGACTGTAGCAGAGGCAGTGACGGTATTTGCTGCAGTACAATGGTGCAGAATCAAACTCCAAAAAAAGCCTCCTGCAGCACAATGAACTGTCACCATAGTCCCACTTTTAGATTAGAGGTGTAGAACAGTGGTCACAAAAGTTTTTTGCACCATGGACAGGTTTCAGAAAGACAAATTTCTCATGGACTGGTTGTTGGGCCATAATAATTCACTATTAGCGAAACCAGCGTGATGCTGTGGTGTAAAAGACACCGGGAGACAACAGACAAAATAATGAAAATATCTCTTCTCTGTTTGTTGCTTGTTGAACAGGTGGTTTGATAAAGTTCTTATTGGCCTTTTACTTTTTATTGCACTTAAGGTAACATAAAGGTCAGTGATGGTTGTCATCAACTGCAGTAATCTTCAGTTATCTCTACTTCACCTGGTTCTGTGTCCAGTGCAGTGTGTGTACTGCAGCCCCACCTCTCCCAGAGAGCAGAGAGCAGAGGACAAAGAAACAGTGCGACCATAAATGATGAATAAAAAATAAATATATGGCAGTTAATAGTGACTGGGCGCACAGAGACTAATCAAAGCTGCCTTAAACAGCCTATTATCAGGCAATTGTTGCATTTTACGAATTAAAAAAAATTAATTAATTCGTCCTCTCTGTGCAGCCTTGTAGCAAATATGCTGCGGCCCGGTACCGGTCCACAGCCCGGTGGTTGGGGACCACTGTTGTAGAACATCTCTTGAGAGCTGCAATCACAACTAACTTTACTAGCTACAGCAGCTAACACACAAGATATAACAACTGTAAATGAAGACTTCTTCGGCCATTTTTAAAAGGAAACTAAATTACATTTTCAAGACTTTAAGACCCTGCAGATTCCTTACTAGGTGATTTTGGTATTACATATGGTATTACAAAGCAGTGACGTCTAAACCACTAAATTGGAGCTTGCCCCATAAACACAGAAACGCATGTACAGATTAGGTATAATATTATATATATCATAATGATACTATTTCTGACACAGTATGTCAGAAACCCTTAGTGCTTCAGAAAGTTAAATTTTCGGTAGAGGCAAAATTCGCCTCTGAGCTGTCATTGGTGCCCAGGTGCTCCTTAATAGTTAGGACGGGTCAAACGCAGCAGCAGAAGGTCCTCACAGGAAAGTAAAGAAAAGGTCACAATTCACACGTCCGTCTGCTGCTAGCTCAAGCTGGGAGAAGGGCAGTCTCCCTATTCACTACAACTCTGGACCTGCAGAAGGTCCCTGATCAGCTTCATGGAGTTACATAAAGACTAAAAGGTGAAAAGGGTAATCCCACCCACTTCCCTTTCATTTCAAACAAGGTACATCTGTTAAAGGAAGGGGTCGTATCCATGTTTATAGATGTCAGCTTGAGTTGCTCTCTTGGAAAGGAAAATTGGAAATTACATTTATTCGAGTGCAGTACATTTAAGAAACTGTCCAAAAGGAACAAAGTGAACTCAGACTAGTACCTCCAATCTGGATAGAGGTTGTGGTCCGAAGTTTTCTTCCTCCTCCACCTCTGCCTCCACCCTGGCCTCGCTCCTCATAGCCATGGTCCGAGTATGGAAATCTGGTCAACAGAGAGGAAGAGGATTCATAATTCTGTCCCTTTGCTTTCCTGATCTTGCAGACTGGGTAACCACCAGAGGGAAACATGTTTCTAAACAGTGACCGTCTTCGCTGAATGTAATAGGCAGTGATGCCTTTGTTTACCTGGTTTCTCTATGCTACCGCTCTAGGACTGTAAACACAGTATGACAATATCGTTAGTTAGTTGTTGTCAGAATGGAAATATGAACGTGACCTTCTGATTTGTCACACTTTGCAAAATGAGGCTATTCAGTCAAAGCCCTAGTAAGTTAACAGACTAACCTTTTACATCAGAAAACATTTGCTTATAACGTTTCGTACCGCTACAACAATAAAACAAGGTCAACCGATGTATCTTCTGTTGTGAACCAGCTTAAGTAGAAGTATCATTAGCATTTAACACATTTGATAACGCTCTTAGCTTGTTAGCATTGGCGCTGTTTTCTCATCAGTTCGCTACATTTCAGCCGTGGAGCTAGTGTTAGCCGTTGACAACACTCCTGGACGGCCAGCTAACGAGTTCAACACAAATTAACACTTATGTCTTAACTCTGTGCTGTAATCATATGTCGTGCGGGCGGGCTTTACTCTGACTTTAGTCTACAGACGGTACCTACCTGATGCTTCTTGTTTCCCTTCGAACTCCGCCGTTTGATAACCAAAGGTCCCGCGCTCCACACTCAGTACGCACCAATGACACGCAATGACGTTAGACGTAAAGACCAAGTGGTAACGCACCATGACGTCACTCATTGGTTTGTGAACTGCACAAACAGGACACAAAATGTAATGCAAGGAATTGGCATGATGTCTGATATGAAGTCACAATTCAAAAGTAGCATTATGTTAGATGGTGTATGCTTCACAGACAAAACATGTAATAGTAGTCATATTAGGAGACTTTGCCAGTGTTTCACAACTCCTCCTATCAAGCTGTTTTGGAACTCTAGATTTGAAAATATTAATTATCTTTAATTAAAAGAGAAATACTGTGTAAACAAAATTCATTTAATTCATTTAAAGTTCTACACTTGATTTATCCTGTAAACCAGGTAATTTACAGATTAAGAGACAATATTGATGGAAAATGTGTACTTTGCAGTTACAAAGCTGAGAGTATTTATCAGTTGACAGGGAGAAGCTCAGGTGTGTGCAACAAGGTTAAATGCAAAGAAGGACTACAGAAGGAAAGTAGAGAGGAAGCTGCAGCACAACAACACCAGAGAGGTTTGGAGGGGGATGAGGACCATCACTGGCTATAAAGAGAAGAACAGCCAGGCAACATCAGGTGATGTGGACAAGGCCAATGAGTTCAACCTGTTCTACAACAGGTGTGACACAGCCTCACCTGTTCTCTCTCCCACTGCAACTCCCTCCACACTGGGGTCAAGTCTCCTGTCCTTCAGCCAGTCAACATTAGAGGGAAGGACATTGAGGTGGCTGCACGCTTATAAATACCTAGGTGTGCACCTGGACAGTAAACTGGACTGGTCCCTGAACAGGGATGCCATCTACCTGAAGGGGCAGAGCCAGCTCTTTTTCCTCAGGAGGCTCAGGTCCTTTGACCTCTGCAGTGAAAAGCTGCACGTTTTATCAGTCAGTGGTGGCCAGTGTACTCTTTAATGCTGCAGTCTGCTGGGGCAGCAGCATGTCCAACATGAACACAAAGAGACTGGACAAGCTGGTAAAAGAGGCTGAATCTGTGCTTGGCAGGAGTCTGGACTCACTCAGGACTGTTGTGGAGAGATGCATGCAATGTAAGATGGAGGCCATCTTGGACAATACCAACCATCCTCTCCACAACATTCTGGCAGGACAGAGAAGCAGCTACAGCTGCAGCAAACCTCTCATCTCACTGCGCTGCAGAACAGAGAGGTTCAACTGTTATTATTATTATCAACAATGAGTTAATGGACACATGAATTTTCCCTAGGGGATAAATAAAGTATCTATCTATCTATCTATCTATCTATCTATCTATCTATCTATCTATCTATCTATCTATCTATCTATCTATCTATCTATCTATCTATCTATCTATTTTTTGAATGCCTATCTATTCAATTGTTTTGGTTAGATATAGAATATTTCTTATAGATGCTGACTGGTTCAACTATTCATTTAGAAAAAATATATTTTTTTATGATAATAATGACATTAACTGAAAAAAACTATTTATTTTGAATCTTTATTTTATATGGAAAATACTTCAGCCACTAATGCAAATAGTTCAAAAGAAACCACACATACAACAATTCCAAATAATATTTTGACACTATATTGATTCATTACATGACTGAAGAACAGTAAAGCTACAAAAACAGTAGAAACTTGTAAAGCCTTAAATCATTTAAAAAAAAAATTATTATCTTTGTTTCATCATCCTTATATATATGTTGTAATTATTTCCTTTGTTGTATTTATTTTAACATAAATTGTGGCAAGATGTTTCTAAGTTTATCTTGGACAATATTACTTGCAGCTTTAAGCTTCTACTGGAAAATGTGTTTTTTAGCTTCTTAATGATCAACAAAAAATATCAAAAAGTATATTTTATAATAAATCTCATTATATTATTTGCAAAGTTTTACATTCATAAATGTTAATTGGTTAAAAATGAAACCGAACTTGTGTTTTCAATTGTTTTCAGTTAAGAAATTGAACTGTATATTAAGACAATAACCTCGTCAAAAAAAGCTTTTAAAACTGTGAAATTGTGCTCCCATTTTAATGTTTTCACTAAAGTCACTTTCTATTTATTTATGTTTACCCCTGGCATATACACTTTTTTATGACATTATTATTTTTATCTCATTATCAAGACATATATAATTTTATGTTTGTATGTTTTTGAATTGCTGCTGTTATTTGTCTTATGGATTTTGGGGATTTTCTGATATAAAAGGAGAAGAAAAAAATAAAACCATGTATTATACAAACCATGACTCTGAGCCATGGATGTACTTATATACAGGTGCATCTCAAGAAATTAGAATATCATGGAAAAGTTCATTTATTTCAGTAATTCAATTCTAAAAGTGAAACTCATATTATATAGATTCATGACACACACGGTGAAATATTTCAAGCCTTTATTTCTTTTAATTTGAATGATTACGGCTTACAGTTAATGAAAACCCAAAATTCAGTATTTCAGAAAATTAGAATATTACATAAGACCAATAAAAAAAAAGATTTTTAATACAGAAATGTTGGCCTACTGAAAAGTATGTTCATGTATATGCACTCAATACTTGGTCGGGGCTCCTTTTGCATGAATTACTGCATCAATGCAGTGTGGCATGGAGGCGATCAGCCTGTGGCACTGCTGAGGTGTTATGGAAGCCCAGGTGTCTTTGATAGTGGCTTTCAGCTTGTCTGCATTGTTGGGTCTGGTGTCTCTTATCTTCCTCTTGACAATACCCCATAGATTCTCTATGGGGTTCAGGTCAGGTGAGTTTGCTGGCCAATCAAGCACAGTGATACCATGGTCATTAAACCAGTGTGGGCAGGTACCAAGTCCTGCTGGAAAATGACATCAGCATCTCCATAAAGCTTGTCAGCAGAAGGAAACATGAAGTGCTCTAAAAATTTCTTGGTAGACGGCTGCGTTGACTTGGGACTTGATAGAACACAGTGGACCAACACAGGCAGATGACATGGCTCCCCAAATCATCACTGACTGTGGAAACTTCACACTGGACTTCAAGCAACTTGGATTCTGTGCCTCTCCATTCTTCCTCCAGACTCTGGGACCTTGATTTCCAAATGAAGTGCAAAATTTACTTTCATCTGAAAAGAGTACTTTGGACCACTGAGCAACAGTCCAGTCCTTTTTCTCCTCAGCCCAAGTAAGACACTTCTGACATTGTCTCTGGTTCAGGAGTGGCTTGACACGAGGAATGCGACAGTTGTAGCCTATGGCCTGGATACATCTGTGCGTGGTGGCTCTTGATGCACTGACTTCAAACTTGGAGTAAATGTGGAGAGGGAATCAATCTGCAAATCATATGCATATATTTTGGAGGTGCCCTGTCACAGAGTTAGTATTTGAGAATACATTTTCCCACAGGAGATGAACAACACTCAGTGGTGTCAGAAGAAAAAGACAGACTAGGATGGCTCCAAAAAACAAGCAGTCATGGCAGCAGCAGCAGCAGCAGCAGCAAGTAAAACCTTTAGAGGTTTAGGATGGTAGCTGCCAGTGTCTTGGTCCAGTAGGGTGCCACTGGAAGAATCAAAGCTGGAGTGAAATGATACTGAATTTTCTTACGACTTAACGACAATTTTATCCAACTGGCTGCAACAAAACTGGTCCATCTGACTAATTCCCTTGCTGACTGGCAAAGCAAGAAGTACTTTTGTAGCTATGGACCCTGCCCACACTCAACACTGACAAACTGAAGGAGGCACTTTTTTAAGAAGCATGAGGTCAAAAGAGACTTACGGTCAGCACTTCCGTGCCCTCGACACTCCTGCAGACTCCTCAGGAGCTGTTTGCCCGCCTCAAGGACTTGTTCTGCAAGTGGGTAAACTTCTTCTGACATTCTGGAGACTATGGTCCTGGAGCAGTACCTCAGGGTTCTCGATCCTGAAGAGAGGAATTAGGTTAGAGAACACAATCCTGAGACATCAGTAGAGACAACATAGCTGGTTGACATCTGTCTCGGCACACATGGGTCAAGGGGCCACTACGCTGAACAGCGCCAAGCAAGGGGTAAGGCTGACAGGATGGTTAAGGGGGTGGTCCAGTCAGTAGCTCTCCTAGCCACCCTAGACCAAACAGACCAGTGTTTCAGGAGAACTCTACGATCAATTCTCAGCCAATGGACAAGGCACAGGTTGTTTTTATACAACTGTGGTGAGCCAGGCCATACATGTCCGGTTTGCCCCATTAGAAAGCACAAAGCCATCAGTCTCTGTTATGTCCCTTAACCTGAGTTCATTGTTACCCATGAAGGGCAGACAGACTTCCCTGTGGCCACTGTGCAGTTAAATGATAAGCCCCATACAGCCCTGTTGAGACACCAGTTGTTCCTAGGCCCTTGTTAAGTCTTCAGCTGGTTCCCAGTGAGTTATGGAGTGAGGGAAAAACAGTCCCAGTCATTTGTCTCCATGGACACGAGGAACAGGCCCCCAAAGCTGAAGTTTAGACTGAGGCTAAAGGACAGGTTACCTTATGGAAGTTGGTGTTTCCCCAGAACTGCACCACCCCATCATGCTAGGGAAGTCCTGCATGACCTCATCAGACAGCAGGGAAGGGTTTTTTGGTGTAGTTACATGTTCCAAAGCAAATCATGTTGCTGTTGCTCCAGTCCCTGAAGCAGGGACAACAGTGGTTACAGCTATACAGCACACAAAGCCACCCATTACACCTAAAGCAGCGTCAGTTACAACACCCATACATACCATACCAGACCCTCAGAGAGATACACTGCAGCTAATGCCATTCTATGGGAAAGATTATGTGACAGGGCCCACAGTCACACAGGAGGATGCAGACAGAAAGTGGGTGAATTTATGCTACAGCCAACAGAGCAGACAGAGCAAGAGTAACTTTCAGAGCAAATTTCTGCTCCAGAGCTGCAAATAGATTAATTGCCCCTTGACCTTGCTAAGCAGCAGCATGAAGGATCCACCCTATGGCACTGTTTTAAGCACGCTGAGGAACTG